CCCGAAGCTGCAGATTCAGTGCCATCCTTTGAGATACATTCTTCTCAGGGGAGGGGCAGGCATCCACTTAGTATTTGGGGCTGGGACCAGCCCCTCAAATTGTACTCTTACAAGGATATATATTAGCTTTAAATATGATCCAGTGCTTTATAATTAAGAGTACGTGTCAATATTGTATTATTATAGTGCTTGGTAGGCCCATAGTACAACCCTTTGCCCTTCTGTCTTCTGATAATGCGTTCGAAAATGCAGAGCACCCAGTGGATGAAGGCTGGATCTGGAGGACAGACAATAGGTAGCATTTGATGCCTGGGAACGATCAGGGTGGGAATGCCTCACAGTCTTCTCACACTATCTTCTGTGTCATGTACGTTTTCAGTGACTGAGCCCCCAAACCCTGTTTCTCAATGGAAAAGACCATTTTGATATTGAGCTAATGCATCTTCATAATTATTATTGTGTGCCATTGATTCGGACCCACAGCACCCCCGTTTCCTCATCTTTACGGAAGTGGACTGACACCTCTTTGTGCAGCTGGTTGGTTCAAAGCATGGACGTGTATCAGCAAACAAACACGCACTTTAACCACCGTGCCACCAGGACTTGAATTCCTGGCCAAACCCTGCCTCCATGAGGCTGTGTCCTCTCTTCACGTTTATGGTCACTGATACCCATCTGCTGCTGCTGGACCATGGTACATTCTGATTGCCTGTTCCTGGTGTTGATTTCTCCACTGTAGTTTCCCCTTTTAGCTGCTAATAAGCAAGTGTGGGAGACACGTTCAGACCATATCATTATCTTCCCCATGCAAATCTCCCTTTTGCTGTTTATGGCTTGAAGTGGCCTTTTATGAGGATGTGTTGTACACGGTAGTTGTCCAGTTCCTCACTTCCTCCCCTTCCTTCACAGCTGCCCTTGAAAATCAGCAGAGCCCTTTCTTCCCCTCACTTCTTTTCCTCAAGGTAATGCTCACAGGGACTTGGGGCTTGGTTTTGCCGTGGTCCTAAGGCATTGTTTTTGTGCTCACGTGGGTTGACTTGGCCAGTGGGAGCCCCCGCACCCTGGCCTGTGTGTCTGTGACTGTGATGGGTCCCCATGCATTTTGATCACTTCCCTTTCTGGCCTAACAAGTTGTTACAGGTTCATTATACGTGGACTCGGCCATTTCTCCAAGAAGCCCTGGTTGATATTTTGGTTTTCTTAGTGAGCAGAGGTCTGGTGTTTTCATTAAAAATTCATTTTGGTGACAGACCAAATGAATCTTACAACCTACTTTGAAGAGAATGTCTTTAAGGCACCTCATTTCTATGTCCTTGCCACGCCAGGGTAAGCTGGAGGCAGCCCCTCCACCGGAAAAGCACTTCTTTGGAGCCCCTGAAGCTGGGGCAGTCAGGCTCCAGGGCAGGGAGGCTCCGGAGCTGGCCGCACAGGGGAACAGCCCGGTACTGAGTTGAGGGCAGCAGCTGCTTTCCAGGGGCCCGGGAAGTGTCTAGCTAGGTTCAGCCCTCTCCCGGTAGTTTGTGTCACACCCCCATCTGCTTCTCCACAGGCCTTGAGTTGGTGACTGCTGCGTACCGTGACCTGGTCTTTCCCAGACGTGTCTGGAGTTCTCATGGGGAGTAGGTGGTGTGTGGTGAGCTTATGAAGTCCAAGCTCGGGGACCATCAGCCCCCCGCAGCCTGGCAGGAACAAGCAGCCCTTACTAACACAAACAAGAATTTTCCATGCAACACCCAACTTGTGCCAAATAGTCCTCAGAAGTTTGTAGTTCCGATAGAAGTCAGAGTTCCTCCCCTGCCTAACCCTGCCTGAAGACTGGTTTGGTGCATGGTGAGCTGGGCTTGTCCCTTAGAAATTCACCACCCAGTCAGCTGAACAGGCCCTAACATCATCTGTATTTCTTGCGTATCAGTCAGGCTTCCAGTTCTCACTTGAAGAACCACCCTGGTCCTGTGCACTCAGGTGTGCAGCGTGTCCTTCGGGGTGGGTTGGCAAAGTCGCCTCTGTGGAAGTGGGCATAAAGTGGTGCAGCATAGTCGTGTGGGTTTTGTTGTTGCCCTTAAAGGATGTACAATTTTAAGAATGACATGAAGGGCTCACCACAGGCCAGCAGTTTGAACCCACCAACAGTTCGGCAGGAGCAAAATGAGGCCGGGTCCTACCTCCAAATGCCAGGTCTCGGAAACCCAAAGGGCTGCGGAGTTGGACAGTGAGTGAAGTCTGAAACGGTACATTTCTAAATAGGCAATGTCTAAAACGTAAGCTTGAAGACTGACCGAGATCCTTATACACAAAGGTATGGGATTGCTACTCTGGTAATTTTAGTAAATACTTTTAAGTGATTGAATGTCTACCAAGTTCAAGGCATTAAGTTTTCCTATTTGTTCTGATCAGCACTTTCGGAGCACCTGCTGTGCTCTCCAGGGTTAGAGACTGGCCTCTTCGCTCCCACAGGGATTGCTGAATAATGGTGCCCAATGTCCTACATCCAGAACTGGGTAAATGGCAGGCTCAGAATTTCCCCTCGAACTTACCTCTCATCACAGAGGGTCTGCTGGGAATAAGGTGTGCATGCCAGGGAACCTCAGGCTTCCTGAACTTTGTGTCTGGAGTGAGCCTGTGATGCTAGTCTGTGTTAATGATGGTGCTAGGGATTTTTAGGGTTTGTGTATAGAACCTGAATCAAGCAGGCATACAATGGGAATGGGAAGAATCCATGTGACACAGGGCTGGGCCTCGACCCGGCGGTGGCAAGCACTCTGGCACTAAAACAGTTCCCCTTAAGGGACAATATCTTTCAGGGACTGCCCACCCACCAGCATTTGGAAAACAAACCCTCAGCACATGTAAGACCCATTGTGTGTGAGAATGGATCCATAGAAAGTCCTAGAATTGAAGCTGCAAAGGAACTGGCCCTTGAATTATACGCAAGGCACCCTGCCTCTTAAGGGGATTGTCTCCCATGGCTCAGTCCACTGATTCAGAGGAAAACTGTGTGTTAGGTAAGACAAATGCAAAGATTCCAAGTGCTTCGTCTGTGGCTGGCTGGTTTATGGCAGGCTCCTCCCATTCCATGATCTTTGCTTGCCTTGGTGGTAACAAAGGTCTTTTGACAACCCGAGTCTCCCAAGCCCAGTGGGTGGCTGTGTCTCACCTCTCTGAGCAGAGGCTGTTTTTCTAGAAGCAAAGAGCAATAGAGCTGGCTGAAATGGAGGCTTTGCAAAGGAAAACATCCTATCAAAGTAGAGACAAATTCAGGAATTCCCAGAGCGGGAGGAACCCTGAAAGGCAAATATCAGTGTCCTCTTCGTCCTTAGTCAGCACTGAGTGGGGCGCAAACCCTAGGAACCTTTGGGTCACCCCATCTTGCTCTAAGCTCCTATAGACCGACAGCCCTGCCCAGCATTATAGACTCCGGCTTGTTTGCAGTCTTCTATGGTTGTCTGTAACTTAATTGCTAAATTTTCCCTCTGCGGAGGTTTTATTAGTTCATTTCTAATAGGTAAGACTCTTATTAGAGAAGCCCTTTGCTGGTCTTCAGTGAAAACTCTTGTCTTACAGGCAAGGAAGGTGACCTGGCCCTGCCCACTGTCAGGGAAGACAAAACCCCACGCTCTGAGCTCGGCTCTTGTCCTCATCAAGCAAAACATGTAGGCCTCTCCCAGGACCAAGGATGCGCTCATTCCATTCCTAAGTCTGCCTTTAAGTCAAGTGTGTACCCAAGTCAGAGCAGTACAGCTCACAGGAACACCAGTCAAAGTCCTTTTGTAAGAATATGTGGTTTTGAACAGTAAAACGTTTGCAATCTTAGATCCCTCCCTTGCCTCCACCCATCAGGAAAACAGAGCCAAAGGAATTTCTTGGGAAAGCCCTAAGGGGTTTCCCCAGGTGATGCTGAGGAAGGAAAGTTCCTCTGCCCCTCAGAGGGGAAGAGCAGCAGTTACTGTCAGGAAGAGGTATTCCTGCTGCTCTGTGGAGTTTAAAAGTGGCAGGGCAAAGACAGGCTGCAGCAGCAATTTGTGGGGCTATTTTAACATCAAAAGGAAAAGGGGCCTGGGAGCAGGCCTTTAGTTGACAACTGCGAGGAAGTATGTGTGTGGTAGAAAGCCCCCACGATGAATTCCAGCTCGTTTCTTAAATAAATAAATACGGCTACATAACATTCTATATATATATATATTTATTTTTTCTTTTTCTCCAGTTAATTACTTCCCACTTAGTAGAACCTAAAGCCACCTCCTCCACCCTCTGGGAGGGAAGCAAGAAGGCGAATGCAGCAGCTCTCAGGAACAAAGGCACAGGCAGAGCTGGGTAAACTGAGTCGCGTGGGATGGGCTGTCACTTGGACCCTGCCCCAATCCTGAAAGGGGGCGTGTCCCAGATCACCCTGGTGTTCTCCCATCCCACACAGTTGTATCTTGTAAAGGCACACCTAAAAATGTGCAGCTGGGGCTGGTGTAAGCTACACACAATTACTGCTATGCAGGGGAGAAAAGGTGAGGCTGCAAACCTCGGGTACAGCAAGGGTGCGTCCCGGCCTTCGCCCCACACGGGAGGGAGCTGGGAGGTCTGGGGAGAAAGCTGCCCAGGCAGGCCCGGGCTGTGGTCAGTGGTGCACGTACAGAGGAGTCTTTGGTTACTTGTGGGAGCAGCAGCTCCCTGGGTACAAACGCTCCCACAGCTTCAGAGCTGGGACAAGCAGGCTCCAGCCGGCGCTTACTCACTGACTCCTCCCAGCATGGCCACTTGCTGCACGGGCACAAGGCACAGCCCGGGAGTCTCAGCTGCAGTGCCAGTACAGGCTTTTAGAAAGGCTGCTCTGAAGACCAACCTTCGAAGGAGAACTTCCCATCCCAGGTCTAGTTAAGGAACCTGGGAAACTCCTAGTCTGTGTCCCCAGGGAGTAAAGGGTCCCTTGGAGCCCTGGCAAGAGAGCAAGGGGGCGAAGATTCTGCAGGTCCAGAGTTGCCCACCTACAGGCTCCGGGGCTCCAGGACCAGCCAGTTCTCGGTGACCGTCTGCATGTCCTGGCCATTCAGAGGCTCGCGCAGCCTCACCTTTACCTCCAGCTTCCCCCCAGTGGGCTTCCTTCCATCCAGGACCTGTCGGGACGGGGGAGAGGGAGAAGGGAGGAGTGGGCAGGAGTAGGGAGCCTTCTCCTCTCCCATGGAAGGAGTCAGGGGTTGAGGCGTCTGCAGTGTTAACAGAGGAACAGCGATGCTCTGACTGAAGTGGGAATGGAGACCCAGAGCCCAGCAGCCCACCTGGCATCTTCCTCAGTCCTCAGGCCGCTCCTGGAGTAAGGACTGGCTCCAAGGAGCAGCTTGAAAGCAACTTCCTAACCTTTACTTCCAAGGGGCCCAGAGGAGTGTGTGTGAAGTTGCCCACTCACGGTGGCATGGTAGAGCCAGGACGACTAGTCCCCAAGCCAAGTTGCTGCCAGACCACCAGACTGGCTCTGTCCTCTCATCTGGAGAGGGGCAGCTGGGGGGCTAAGCAGTGCCAACAGCCTGAGCACCAGCCTGAGCACTGTGCATCCAGGGCTCCCCACAGGTGGGTGGCAGTTGTGCGGTGGTGGGAGAGACTGAGCAAGAGAAGGCCTCGGCCTGGGCTGCTGCTTTTTCTGCCAGGGACACACTGGGGGAACCTAAGGAGCACCCTGCCCTCGGCCTCTGTTTCCTTATCTGTCAAAGAAAAGCCCTGCCTGAGCAATCCCACAGAAACGTCACGAGATGCCCTAGGATGCTTCCTAAGCCAAGACGAGAATTCCGTTGGCTGCGTGCTACAGAACACAGCTTGACGTCAGCGCTCAGTCCACTGCAAGCCGCAGCACCAGGGACCTTTAGGGCCCCTGCTCTGATCCCCATTCGGTGAACTTGAGGAGGGCCGCAGTGCTGTAGAACAAGGAGAGCCCCTTCCTGTCTAGGTGACTATGTTCCTCGGACTCTGAATCTCTCCATCTGTGAGAAAAGGGGCAGCCACCTACTTCCTCTGTGGAACATGGATATCTACGCACTAAGTACTGGACACAGAAAAACTCCAATAGGGACTGGTGTCCGATCAATGTCGCTTCTCCCAAGTCCTCTGCTGCCCCTACCTCCACAATCTCTCTGATCTCACACTCGCTTTCCAGTCGCTCCAGCTTCAGGTGGGCGGTGCCGACGAGCTTGTCGCTTCTGAAGAAGGACCTGGAAACCCAGACAGCAGAGGGCTGGGCCAAGCAGGGCAGTCGGAAGTGGGGGAGCAGCAGCAGCAGCAGTGCAATCGCATTCCTCTCCCAGGTGCACCGCAGCAGTGGGACTGTAAGAGGTCTCACCCTTTGTGGAAGATTTCAAACTTGATTCCTTTGCTTTGGATCACCCTCCTGAAGCCCCTGTGGTTTCGGTTGATATTTAGTTTGAAGAGGTGATCAAATTCTGCAAGAGTAGAAGAATGTAGGGAGGGGCTAGCTCCCAGGGATTTTGAGGAAGTGGAGAACAGGTCCTGGACTGGAACTTCTTTTAGGTCTCTCTGCTTGCATTTCAGTGTGATTACCACCGGAGGGTAATACTGAGGCTAAGTGCTGGCCTTCTCTGCCTGCATCTCAGTGTGGTAGCCACCAGGAGGTGATACTGGGTTTAAGTGTAGGCAACAAAAGTGTTTCTATTTGTAATTGACACAGTAAAGTGCTCTGACAGCTAGCATGAAGGTTGGAGGTCTTAAACCTCGCAGAGGTACTGTAGCAGGCAGCCTTGGTGATTTACTATGGTGATGTACTATGGAGGAATTCTACTCTGCACACATGGGACTGCCATGAGCCAGCAACGACTAGACGACAGGCCCTAGCACCTGTCGGGTTGTTAGACTCCCTGGTGGGGAAGACTTGGAGTCTGGAGTCAGGGCTCTTGAGCTCCAGTCCCACGTCCACCACCTCCTTGTTCCGAGACCCACAGCACATCTGCCTCTCTGAACGTCCGTTTCCCTATAATGTAACGGCCTTACTCCTGTTGACAGGAACAAGGGAGGTGACAGGCAGGCACTCTGGAAACAGAGAAGGGAGGAGAGAAGTCCTCCGGCAGGCCCGCACCTGGAGAGTTGGTGTTCTTCACCACAGCTGTCTTGCTTTTCTGGGCCTGGTCCTAAGAGCAGTGAAAAGAGAATTCAGGACAGCTTGGGCAAAAGCAGCAGGCAGTCAGGGGCTCTAGACTACATCGGTGTCCAGAGAATGGCTCTGAATGCCTTCAAACCAACCCTCCCCGCCTACCCCCCCACCCCACCCCAGTGTCTCCCAGGGCTGGGCAAGTGTGAGCACAGGGTCCTGGGATGGGAGATGGGGATTCTCCGAGCCTCACCGAGTTAGGGTAGTGGAACTCAAACCGCACAAAAGCATCCAAGTCATCAGGGGTCACCCCTGTGGGACATAATGGAGTCAGGGGTGTTCCTTGTCACGGGGAGCACCCGATTGCACACTGGCTGGGGAAAGAGCAAAGTCTGGGCAAGGGCCTTCTGGAGTGAGGGTGGCCCAGTGATTACCTGGAGGGGCAGGGAGGTTCATCCCCCGAACAATGATGAGATGCATTTCCGTGCTGTTGAGTTCTGAGAAGATCCTACAGCAGGAACAGAGGAGGAAGAGCCAGGTAAAGAAGAGTAGTGGGTCAGGCCCCTCTGGCGGGGGCGCCTGTCTCAGCTAGCAGCAGTGATACTGGTACTCAGAGCTCAGCTCCCAGCTCACGAGCCAGGGATCTTTCCGCACCCCTGCACCAGCTGAGCCCTCACATGCTTCTCCCCACCACCCGCCAAGCCCACCCCAGGGGAAACCATACCAAAGGGGCTACACTTGTCCTGGGTCCCCGCCCCCACCAGGTGGCCATCTCCCCTGGGCTTCCGTACCGTACAGTCTGGAATGTCTTCAACTCAAAGTGGTGGCTGGGAGGGTCCAGGCCCTGGGCTTGGGCCAGCTGCAGGATCTCAAGCTGCTTTCCGCGGTCCTGAGCGAGCTTCTCAAACCTGATGTGGGGTGTGTATGGGCTCTGACAGGGTTCGTGTTCTGCTCCCCACCCCATAGGGCTGCCAGGCCTGGAACTTACCGGGTGGTCTCTGCCACGTTGCCCTGGTGCATGAACTGCTTGGAGAACAGCAGGCACTTCTGGAAGCAAAGGCCCCACATGGTGAGAGATCTCGATGCAGGGCTGCCCAGGGGCCATTTGGGCCTGTTTTCTGTAGCACCAGCTGCTTCCTCTGTAGCCTTCCCCTTTCTCGCCACACTCTCTCCCAGGCCACTGTCCCCAAGTCCTGCACACCTTTCTGCCTGCAGTTTACTGTGTCCTCTTCTGATGGCCTTTCCCCCAAACGGACCTGGCACACTCCTGTCCACCTTTCCTAACAGCACACCTCGCCTCCAAAGGCTTTCCAAAGTCAGAGAGCCCTTTCCTACCAGGGCTGTCACGCGTTTGTGGAAGAGTGAAGGTAGCGGGTCACACATTGCCTGCTCCCACCAAGGTCTCACTCCTCCCTGACACTCATCCGCAAAGCACGTCACCTCCACTCTGTTGTATGAGCTTTGTACTTTCCTTGAAAGAGAACCATCGTCAGCCTCTTCTGCCACTGTGGTTCAAAACACTTAGTGTCACACAGCTACTAAGAAAACAACTAGAATCTGCAACCCTGCTCTGGCCTGAGCGCTGTCCCCAAAGGCAGGAGGTGGGTGCGGAGAGGGGCACACAGACAGGCCTACTGACCTCGCGTTGCTCCAGAAGCATCTTTTGTAGCTGGGCATAGACCTCCTCGGCCTTCTGGGAGAGCCTCAGGTCCTCATGGTGGATGAGGATGAAGTCGCCCTCCTCATCCGTCAAGGGTGAAGGCACCTGCCCGGATCACAAGGCCCCTCAGGGGCCCCAAGAGTCAGATTACTCCTCTACTGAACCCAACAAAGTGGGAGATCCCATCAAAATGTTCTGACGTTCCCAGCCTTTCATGCTGTCCCAGACTCCTGGAAAGCCTACTCCCTGTCTCCCCTACTGGGTCCTGTCACCTTTGAACACAGGCCACCCACCTGCCTTTCTCTGTCCTCTCTGGGGGCCCTGGGGTAGACTCTCAGGATGCTTTCAGACTGTTCAAGTCCTGCCTCCTGCCAGCAGCACCCCAAGGCCAGTGCCTCCCCCCACTCCCAACTTGTCCTGAGCAGTCCTGGCATTCACCCAGCAGGGGCTCACCTTGGAGAGGTTGATGGGGCGGCCAGCTCGGACCTGGGTGATCTGGGCCTCCAGGCCTTTGGCTGCCCGCAGATGGGCCTTGGCCTGCTCCAGGTCCTGGCCACGCTTGGCCTGCAGGGCTGCCCTCTGGTACTGCAGTTTCCGGGCCTCGAGCAGGGCCAGTTGCTCCCGCACTAAGAGGAGACACTGGTTGGGACCATGCCTGGCCCGCACCTGAGCTTTCACTCCTCCCGCCCTCTTCTCTCCACTCACCAGATGGACTCAGTGACTCCTTAGAACTCGAGACCTTGGGCTCAGGCAGCGGCCGGGATGAAGGGGCCAGCGGCTGGGTTGGCTGCTTTGCCACTGGGGCCTGGGCTGGGGACTCTGCCTGCAGGTCCCAGAAGGCTGTCACACGGAGCTTGATCCCCACCCCTGCCAGCACAGCTCCCTGACTTGGGATCTCTTCCTAGTGCTGCCCTGACTCACTGTGTGACCGGACTCAAGTGGCCTTACCTGTCGAGCCTACAGAATCTCAGGGTTAGAAACTTTAAAAGCTCTCTGGTCTAAGCTTCCAGCAGGAGCAATCAAACCTGGGGTCCTGGGTCTAAGGTAAGGGCTTGGATCCAGCTCTGCGAGCCTGGAGCCTCACACCTTCGCCAAGATTTTCAGAGCACCTCTACCTCACTGGACTCGCTGGCACAAATGCTATCAAACACAGGGTCTGTTCCCCCACCAGCCCCCAGCCCAGGCCTCAGCCAGACCTCCTCCCCCTCCTCCTCCTCCTCAGCTGCTGCTGTATCCTCCGAGGCAGCCAGCTTCTGCGCAGCTGCGAGGGTGGCTGCCATGACGTCCTCCGTGGAGGCTGGGGCAGGCTCCAGGCCAGGGATCGGGGGAAAGCCTATGGACAGAGACGGACAGCTGGGAGGGTGGCTCCCACGGGGCGGCAGCAGGCACACAGCACTTCCCTCAGAGGCACCAGGCCAAGGCCCACTCACCTGGAGGAACGGGCAGCTCAGCAAAATCAACTTTCCGCCCTGCCCGGTGTGCTCGCATGGCATCTTGGTATTGCTGCAAGGGAGGGGCAGTCAGCAGGCTTCATGCCCAGCAGATGGGCAGAGAGAGGGCGAGGGTGCGAGAGCAGGCAGCCTGGCGTGGGCCAGCCCACCAGCTGCTGCTCACCTTGGCAATGCGCTCGTGCATCCGGGCCTTGCGTTCGTCCCCGCTGCCCCGGGCCTGGGCACCCGCCTCCCGGTACTTGTTCAGCCTCTGCTGCAGGGCATCGAGCACGGTCTGTGGCTCTGCGGGGCCCTCTGGACCGGGGAAGGGGATGGCATCAGCTCTGCCCACCCCTCCCCAGCCCACACTGCTGACCCCTCCATCCTGCCCTACCTGGGGCCACTGGGATGTCGGGGGCCATCACAGGCTGCATGCGCTCCACTGCCGGAGGCATGAGAGAGGGGGCTGTGCGGGCCTTTGAAGGCTGCGGCTTCAGGTCTGTGGGGCCCAGAGCAGAGATGTAGGTGGGGAGCCCTGGCCAGCCCTGCCCACCCCCAGTGTGACCAGCTGGCCCCCATGCCCACACTGACCCTCAGGTGCAGGGGGCATGTCACTCCAGTCCACGGGCTGCCCCCTCTCCAAGGCCTCCAGCACGGCCCCAAACCTCTACAGTAGGAAGAAAGACAGGTAGCAGGGGGTCCCGGGGTCCCCAAGGCCTGGCTAAAGCATCATCCCTCAGGCCAGTCTAGCTGTGACCTTCACAGGTCCTGGTACCTCTCTGGGCCTCAGTGTACCTATCTGTGAAGCCTCACCTTCCCAATCCTCATGAGGTCTCGTGCCCGGTCCAGATCCCCAGCCTGCTTGGCACTGAGCGCAGCCAGCTTGTATTCTCTCTGTCGGGTCGACAGCAGGTCCCGGGGGTTTGGGTCTGAATTAAGTGGGGCAGGAACGCCAGGGCTGCCCAGAGGGTTTGTCTTGGGTGGGGGTGGGGCATCTGTAGGGAAAGGAAACGTGCACCCAGCAAGGGCCTGAGGCCACAGCTGGACCCCCCGGGCCACACGCCTGGTCAGTGCATGGGGAAGAACTGGCCTGAGGGAGGGGGAGCGCTGGACATGCAACTCTTTGTAAACGCAGTTTAACCCTGGAAGTGTATAATAAGCAAACATTGTATCAAGAAAACTACTAAGAAAATAAAAAGAAACCTAATGTGACGAATGGTTACCACTGGTGAAAAAAAAAAAGTTGTTGCTTAGGGAGCATGGAGTTTATGTCCAGGTGGTGGAACCATTTGGAAAAGGTTATCATAATGGTTGTACAGAAATGAAGACTATAATCGATGGCCCTGAATCATACATGTAGAAGTTGCGGAATTAAAGAATGTTTTGTTGTATTTTTGCCACAATTAGAGAAAAAGTAATTACCTGAATAGAATTGAATGTGGTGATAATTGTATAACTCTTCTTAAGACTGAATTATCAAATTGTATGATGTGTAGATAAAGTGCTAATAAAACTGTTAATAAAACAAACAACAGTGGCCTGAGAGGAGACAGGCTGTGGGCTCTGGTCCTGGGAGCCAGACAGTATTGGGGTGTCTCCAGATACCTGGTTGTACGGCGGGGAGTCCTGGGGGCTCCGGGGGCTCTGTCTCAGGACTCGTGGTGGCGGCTTCCTGGGAGGCTGGGGGCCTCTTGCCCAATGCGACTGGAGGCGGGATCTCATCCTCATTGATCTTTCTGCCTTTCCTCACTGCTGCCAGCTGGGACTGCAGAGTCTGAGGGAGAGGAAGCAGGGGAGAAATCCAGCCGGCTGCTGCACCCGGGCCTGGGCCCGGGCCTACTCCAGGACAGTGGGGCCCTTCACCTCCCTGGGGCTGACAGGGAGCCTACAGCCACTCCAGCTGCCTCGCCGGCTCCCTGATCCCTGCTCCCCAGCAGCCTTCACTCACCTTCAAGCCTCGCTCACAGCGCCTCTCCTTGGCCGCTTCCCCTGCCTCCTTGGCGCTGGCCACAGCAGCCTGGTAGTTGTGGATCCGTTCCTCCAACAGAGCCTGCAGCCCCACAGCCCGTCCAGCCTGTGGACAGGGCACCTCAGCGCCTGGCCACCGCAGGGCCAGCAAGGTCCCTGCGGCTCCCTCCCTGCCAGAAAACTGCCCCCGAGATGGAGCTCTGGGCTCAGAAGGGAGGCAAAGGTGCACTGGAGGGGCCAGAGGCCATGCTGGAGGCGCACACAGACAATAGGCTGGGGGTGGGGGGGTGCGTCCTGGGAGAACAGAGAGGCCTTTGAGGCTGGCCAGCCATCATGGAGCTATTCTCGCTGGTTTTCTGCTTGGGACAGCTGCTGACGGGGCCCTGGAAGGGCGATTCCAGCATAAATATGCTGGCCACACGCCCTGCCCGCTCCACAGGGCCAGCGAGGGGCACCAGAGCCACAGCCTACCTGAGCGGCAGGGCCTGGAGCCATTAGGAAGGCTGTTTGCATGGGCGGGTCCACGTTTTCCTGCCCCTTCTCCTCAGGGCTGCCCAGGCTGTCTGCCTTCTCCCCACTGTCACCATCCAGAGCCGCAGCCGTCTCCTCCTCACCCAAGACCTCCTGCAGCTCATTCTGGGGAGACACAGTAAGTCCCAGGGTCTTGGGGCTCACAATAGGACAGACTCGAAGGCCTTCTCCCTCAGCAAGATCTTCCAGCTCCAGCCACCATGCCGGAAAGGCCGCTTCCCCCAGCGCTCCTTTAATCTGACCAAGGACAGCCTTAACAGAGACCCCTCCCCGGCACAGCTCGGGCTGGAGCTCAAAGGAGACCGGCCTCACCCCTGTCCTTTAGAACTGTGGGGAACCCAGAACGCAGATGGGCCCTCTCGCCACCAGGCCCAGCTGAACCAAAGCTCCATGGACAAGGGCCTGGCAGGACTTACCAGCAGGTCTGCATCCTCCTCCAGCCCTTCCTCCTCTTCCTCCTCCTCCTCCTCCCGCATACAGTCCGCTGCCAACTTCTCGATGTGGGCCATGGGCAGGGGAGCTGGGGGAAGAGGGTCACAGAGGGTCAGGGCAACACAGGAAAGGAGGGTCTTCAATCCACAAGCAATGTCCCACATGGAAAACTCCTGCTCGGCCTTTAAGACCCAGCTCCAAAGACGCTCCTCGGGACAACCTTCCTGAGCGGCTTCCTTTGCGTTTGCCTGTGGTACAAGCCACCGTCCACACACCTGTCCTCCACTCCCTGCATCAACACTTCTCACGTCTGTAAAGATATCTGAGGTTCCCTTGGAATTCATACACATTCGTGTGTTTTACACACGAGTACACAGAACACTTCCTGGGCTGCTCCCATCACCAGCTGTGGCAGTGGCAGGGCCAGGAGTCAAACCTGGGCATACCTTACACCAAACTAATGGGTTGGACTGAGAGCTGAGGGTCCTGTGGTCCTCCCAGACCAACAAGGCCTTCCCGGGTCTCCCATGGCCCAGTTCGGAGCCCAAGGGGATGAGGTGGCTCTCTCTGAGTGGTACCTGGGCAGTCAGGAGCACCTAGGTCTCCTGTCCAGCCGCTCTTCCATTCATCCAACAGTTTCTGGGCACTCGCCTCACTATGGGCACCCCTTCAGCCCTTGCTGAGCTCCTGCTCAGGCTAAGCAGAGACATCAGGAGTCTCTGAGCATCAGGTCTCTACAGTAGGGAGGGGCAGCCAGAAGGGAACATGAGCAGGGCCAGAGGGCTTCTGGGTGAGAGTCTATGGAGGGACCATGGATGTCCAAAGGCCCAGGCAAAGTGGCTGGCTCCCCCACTATCACGCTGCTCCAAGCTCAGCCCAGGTGGCCAACTCACCCTGCCCCTTGGGTGCCGGCTTCCTGCTTGCGGTCCCTGCTTCTCCAGTGAGGGCCAGCAGCTCGGCCTCCAGGTCCCCATCGTCACTCTCCAGTCCCAGCAGCATGTCCTCAGGGTTGAAGTCCACAAAGAGCCCGAGCTAGGTGCACAGAGGGGCCCTTAGGACCACACATGAGACAGAGGCAAGGCCCAACCAGCACCCAAGTCAGGCCTCTTGAATTGTCAGCCAGGCCCATGGTGCAGAAGGGGAAACTGAGCCAGAGACATCACCCCCTCAGGACACTAATCTTTTGTTGACCTCACAAGAACCCAGCGGATTACAGTGTGATACCAGCAAGGCTGCCAGGCATTTGCTGAGCACCTGATGTGATTATGTGCGTTAATTCTCACAGCCCTGAGCTACATGCAGGTCCTATTTTTATCTCCACGCACAGATGAGGGCAAGACAGCCAGGTAAGTAGTGAGTCAGAACTTAAGATCTTTGTAATTGAAGTTCAAGTACTTTACTCCACCGCCTACTTCCCTGACCTGCCCCTTTAAGACACTCAGAAGAGACTCAATGGGGCTCCGGTCCAGAAGAACCTAATCCACACCAGGGCTGCTGGGTCGATTCTGTCGGGACGACCTTCTGGGAGAGAGAACCACTAGCGCAGGGTTTCTAAGACCGTAACAGAGGGCCTCATCTTGCTCCCAGGGAGCAGCGGGTTGGTTTGAACTGCGGACATTGCTGTTGGCAGCTTCACCCGCTGCACCACCAGAGCTGGAGTTCGTCACTAGGAGACAGCTTGGAGGGCAGGCCTGTTTGGTGTCTTAAGAGGCCATGCCTCAGGTCTGCCAAGCTGTGGCCTTAGAGCAGCGGTTCTCGAGCTGTGGGTCGCGACCCCTTTGGGGGGATCAAAGATCCTTTCACAGGGGTCACCTGATTCATAACAGTAGCAAAATGACAGTGATGAAGTAGCAACGAAGCTCATTTTATGGTTACGGGGTCATCACGACATGAGGATCTGCATGGAAGGGTCTTAGCTTGAGGAAGGTTGGGAAGCAGTGCCTTCAGGGACCCTTAGCACCCTTAGGCTCCATGAGGATAGGCGGGCTGGCGCTGTCCACGTCACACGATGGAGGGCAGTACAGGTGTGCCACCCTTCCCCTGAAGGGCTCTGTCAGCTCCAGGAAGCCCTCCCTGCGCCCTATCTCTGCTAATGAGGAAACCCCCACTCCCTGCCACGTGACCCTGTCTGCCCAAGCTCTGTCTAGGGACCTCTCCCCAAAAAGGGCCCACGGGTGAAGGAAGCTCGCTCCATACCTGCTTGGCAGCTGCCACCCCCTGGCCACTGGCTTGAGGACCCTTCCGAGGTCTTGGGCCTGGCATCTTGGCAGCCTGGGTACTTTATCTGCTGGACATGCAAGATGGACTCAGCAGGGAGCAACCTTGGAGCCCCGCCCCCAACAGTGCTCCCCAGGGAAGGTGTGGTTGGAGAGTCCAACTGCAGAGACCAGGCTTGGTGCCAGCATGGACACCTAATGCTGGAACGCAAGAGCTGCGGGGGGGATGCTAGCTAAGGGAGTCACGTGGGGGCAGGGCGCAGGAAGCAGCTTTGTGAACTAATTGAGAGTTGGAGGAGACCTTATGAAGTTGGGCGAGGGAAGTGCGAAGGCAGGCAGATTCGTCAGTAGCCCTAGGTTCGGGGTGGGCAGGAGGTGGGGTGGGGCACTGAAAGGGTCCGACAGGAGTGGCTGCCACGGAAAGCTGTTTCCATGAAAATATCTGTGTTACTGCTAAACACAACTCAATAGCATATTCCTGTCACCTGGGCGGCGGCCCTTCCCACCCCTGGGAGCGCAGCACAGGCAGGGAAGCCTTCCATGCGCGCCCTCCAGCTCTCTACCCAGTGCCTCCACCCACTGCCAGCTCGCGGGCGGCCGCCAGGGACAGGCACATGGCTCCAGGGAGCCGCCGCGCCGGGCTGTCCTGCAGGAGCCCCCGGGCGGGCTGTGAGCGCCTGGGGGCTGCATAGCGAGAAGGGGGTAGGGGGGTCATGTCTGTGTGGAAACACGAGGAGCTGGGGGCGGGGGGACAAGGAAAGGGCACAGGCATCCAAGCGGAGACATGGCTTGGCTGGCACCAGGACGCGGACATCAATATGGGGTCTGCGCACACAGGGAGATCCGCGATGGTCCAGGCGACGCTGGAAGTGAGCCGGGGGCAAAGCAACAAAAAGTGATCTAAGTCTCCACTCCGAGATCCTGGGGCTCCGAGAAGGGCCAGGGTCAGGCTAGTTTCAGAACCACCCCTGGAGACGCAAAGGCCCAAGGAGGGCTCCCCAAGGAGGGGAGCCGCCCCCGGGGAGCACCCTGTGCGGGGGTGGGGGAGGAAAGTGACGGATTCCAGACTCAGGAGGCAGATGCATCTACGGGGCTCCGAGCTTAACTGGGTGTGGGTGTTCGCTCCGGAGGGGGCGCCGGGATGACCCCAGGGGAAGGTCCGCTGGACGGTGAATGACGCGGTCACCAGCTGAGATGGAGCACGGGAGTGGCTCAGGGAAAGGGCGAGGTCGGTCAGGTTTCAGTTTGCGGCGACCGCCGGGGCTCGAGGCGGGGCGTCGGGGCTGGACCCCCGCCCGGACTCAGAGGAGGGCGGCCGCGGGCTGTGCAATTGGGGAGAAGCCGGCCCGACCGCTGCGGCTGGCGCCGCCGCCCCACCTGGCCTGACACGCAGCCTCATCTCCCCCGCCGTCCCGGGATCTCCCCTCGCCGGGGGCGGGCACACAGCATACCTCGCGGCCGATCCGAAACCGAAACCGGGCCTTCTTGGGCCCGGTACCGCCCAGGGCTCCCGCGGGCCCGTGGGGAGCGGCGGCCGGAAGCTCCCGCCGGGGAGGATGCTTGCGGCCGAACACGTGACGCCACGGGCCTGGCTGCGCGCATGCGCGGAGCGGAGTGGGCGGGCGCTTTGACAGGTGACTAAGGGTGGGGTTCCAGTGCGCAAGCGTGCCCAAGCAGGTAGCGCGAGGCCCTGGCGTGCATCGAAGGGCGGCCCCCGCGGACGGTCCGGCTGCTCACGCAAATACTGTGGGTGGGTCTCCTCCCCTGTTCCATCACGCCTTCCCACCTCTCCTCCCCCATCTTCGACGGAGGATCCCGGCCAGACGCTCGACGGTGGGCGGAGCCAGGGCAGGCCCCGCCCCGGGCCTTCCCCTCCGCCTCCTGCCGCCCCTCCTGGGTGCCCTTGGGACTGACTACACTTATTTTTCTCAATCGTCCAACACTTGCACTGCTTTGCCCATCAGCAGGGATGAAATGATCATCATCCTCACTACACAAGAGTAAGCAGAGGCTGACTTTGCCATTTTAAAATGGAAGTTCCACTGCCATTTACTATGAATTTCATTATTGTATGTTAATGACCACTAACAATTAATCAGATGCGTCCTGTAAGCAGGATCAGTATTTGCCCTTTTACTGCCTGACTTATTTATTCACTTACCATAGTGTCAAGGTGTATCAGTGTGGTAGCATGTACCCAATTGAGAATATTTCATCGTGTGGACAGGGATTCTTGCAGCCACTGATTCGCTGACGGGCCCTTGGGTTGTGTCCACCGTCTGGCTGTTGTGAATGCCGCCGCAGTGGACACTGATGTACACGGTCTCACTGTGCGGTCCCTGCTTGCTGGTCTCTGTGGACAGCGAGTGGAGTGAGTCACTGGGACCGATGCCAAGTCTGTTCCACTCAGAGAAACAGGCAAACTACCTTCCAAAGTGGCTGCCATCGTACATTTTCACCACCAACGCACGAGGCTTCCTATTTCTCCACGTCCCCGCGAATACATTAACTTTGTTCAGGCTATGCCCATCCCAGTGGGTTGCTGAGTTGGAATCAACTTGACAGTTTGGTTGAGATTTTGGAGTGGGTCTGAAAGGTGTGCTGGTTGGGGTTAGCCGAAAGGTTAAGTGGTTCAAACCCACCAGTCGCTCCATAGGAGAGAGACCTAGTAATTTGCTCCCAGAGAGGTCAGGCCAGAAAACCCTACTAGGCAGTTCTACTCTTTGCAGTGAGATCAGGATGAGTTGAAATGACTGGATAGCTAATGACAGTGATGAGTACAGAGTTCATGTATGTTCACCGGCATGCAGTGTGACCAGGTTGCCATTATGAACAGCACCACGAACATCCTCGTGATTCCTGGTGTCTGTCTAGAGCAGTGGTTCTCAGCCTGTGGGTCGGGACCACTTTTGGGGTTGAACCAGCCTTTCACAGGAGTCACCCGATTCCTAACAGTAGTAAAATGACAGTGATGAAGTCGCAA